TCCCTCGATGAAACTCTGTAAATAATTTGTTCGTAGGTGTTGTTAACGTGGTTGGGATTCTTGGGGTTCGTGCTGTTGATTGAACTGGGGAGAGACGGTAATTAGAATTGATTTCGTTTCAATTCTCTTGTGTTTTGGATTCTGTGTGCTTCCGCTGTGCAATTTCGTCACCCGGTTTGGTGTGGTTTTCTCTCTCCAAGTCTACTGGCCATTTCGCATGTGAATGGGAACGTGTGTATGCCATGCTGGATTCGTTTTCAATCAGGCACATAACAATGGAGAGGGCGCGAGGAGAGACTGGTAAAGAGCAAGGGTCAGAGAGAGTCACACCTCTTGGCTCATCTTGAATGGTGCCAAAGTCAATCTCGTCAGTAGGGGGTGCCTTTATGTGGGAATCTCTGCAAAAGTAATTCAGGACCAGGTATACACACACCATTCCCATCAGCATCATCATTCCGACACACAGCTCCGAGCCCCTCCCCTTATTGGAGCTGTTGGCATTTGCAAACATCACATGTCCAGAGTATCAATGAAGAGTCTGTACATCTTCTTTTGCTCTATTCCATGCAACTTCAATGTTCATCCATGAAAGTGCAAGACACGTACCCCCCACGTGCACGTAATCCCTCACACCATAAATAAAGTGTGAAATTCAGGGAAGAAATTGGGGGTAGGCACAGAACACTCGTAGGCTCAAAAGAACTGAACTTACAATTCAAAGTTTCTCAAACCACTTTTCACCACCGCCACTCCTAATGAAAAACTTTTTTTTTTTTTTTTTCCCTCCTCCTTATAGTCGATGCTGGAATTGAGAATCTGAGATTGAAGCTTCATATTATCCAACCACCACAAGCTAGAATCTTCTTCCCAGAAAATATCAACAAGGGGTCCAGGATTACAAGTTAAGAAAAGAAAAGAAAAGAAAAGAAAAGAAAAGAAAAAGGAAAATCGAGCACGATGGACAAAGTTGATCAGTCAACTGTGTGATGGTACGGTCTAGGGATTTTCTGACAAGTCTAAATGTATCTGGTCGCCTTAAGAGTTACCAGACCATACCCAGACAAGATCAGACGCAGAAAACCCTTCCAGTACCATGGGAGGACTGCAAGCTGACTGCCCAGCCCATGTGGCTGAATTGTACACTAACTGTTAATAAATAGATCTAACTTCCGATCCTTTTTTTTTTCTTTTTTTTTTTTTGGACAATTTCTTGATTTATGCGTGTCATCCTTGCGCAGGGGCCATGCTAATCTAAGTTCCAATCCTGAGGGAATCAAATGATAAAATTTGACTGACACTGTTATGAACTTGGTTGTTTGACAATTTGATTGCCACTCACACACAGAAGAACTCACACACGCCCATACATGCATGAGACACAGGGGAGGAAGAGACAGAGTCCACCTGCACACAGACCAGAGATAAACAGCGGAATAACAACCATGCACAGATGGGGAGAATACACAGTGTTCTCTCTCTCTGATGAACTCCCAACAACCAATCACAGGATGACACTGCGAAGATCACAATTGGAAAGTAACCCAGATGATGAGCCAACTCAACACAGTTAACCTCAATTATCGTTCCAGAGTTTAACCCAGTGTCTCGCCACACAACAACTACACACTCCACTCGCTACCACCCTCTCAGAGTCTAGCGCTGCACTGAAACAGCCTCCCCCAGGCCAGCGCCAAACACCCAGAGGAAGATCATGAACAGCGATGTAGTCCCCAGTGCCGATGAGCCACTCTGACGATGAAGAAGGCAGCTATGGCTGCCAGGCTGCTACCGCAGCAGCAGTACCCACATGTACCCTGTGAAGAGCCTCCAATTAGTCCTGCCGATCGCAGATACCCCCTGCGGGTAGATGCGCTGAGTACAGCCCCAGCTATGGCTGTCTCAGATAGGCGGCTATGGCTGCTTCACCCTGCTGAAACCTCCAGGTGCCGCTGTAGGTCTTCAGCGCTGCAAGCTTAGTTGGCCACCAACGCTGCACGCGAAAAATGAAAAGCCAAAAGTCCCTACTCAATTCCCCTACAGGACTTATAGACTTCCTACACTAGCCTAGACCTAGACCGGACTGACTGGACCTACCGGTACCGCTGCTGTTTCGGCCTCCCGGCTTCTACCGTACCCGGCTAAAGGCTATAGGACCGTATAGCAGTATAGGCCACTTAGGGCCTGTCTGTCCTAGGGTAGCCTGGGCCTGCTATAGGCAGTTAGGGTAGCTGTAGGAATCCGGTTAGTACCAGGTCTGTATTTTTCCCAAAATTACAGATCTGTCCCTCACGAATTTCCACACAGGCGGGTCTCTCAGTTAGCCCTCAGCCAAACAAAATTACAAAACTAACCCTACAGGTTAGTGTACAGCCTCGCAGTCAATCTCGGCAGCAGAAATCAGCAAGTCATTGCAGACACAATAAGATCCATAATATCAGAGGCTAAGCCCCTCTTTAAAAAACGGGACTACAAGCTGAGATGAAAAGTCATCAGTTTCCCAAAGAGAGAGAGAGAGAGAGAGAGAGAGAGAGAGAGAGAGAGAGAGAGAGAGAGAGAGAGAGAGAGAGAGAGAGAGAGAGAGCAGAGCCTAGAGTCAACCAGGTAGCTGCCCCCACACTATTGCATTATAGGCACAGTTACAGATGGAGGAAGCTCTCACTTCAGAACATGAATGTGGTCATGATCCTACTCTGCTTATTTGGAGCTCTACAATTTTGAAGAGCGCCCAGAACTACAAACCGCAAGTACACGGCCCCAGCCTTGCAGAAAGTTTTTTTTCGCCACAACCAAAACTCGGAGGGGCCGCCCAGCGTGGGGCGCCGTTGAAAAAAAAAACCGGCAGCCTCTGAAGTGGTGCAGGTTTCGTGCTGACACCTGCGGCCGATGTGGTGTACTGGTGCTTTAACACATACATTTTTGGCTATGGTGGGAAATTTCTCCATGCCTGATCCTCACGCGAGCTTGACCCAGGGTAACAACAATGCAGTAGACGTATATGATCGAGAGAGAGAGAGAGAGAGAGAGGCGCAGACAAAGGACAAAAAGCTGACTTTTTTCAGCATGAGCGCGTGTGTTCTCACGTCGGCCAAGCACGATTCCGCAGAAAAGGAATGGCAGAGACACATAAAACCAAGACTGAAACTGGCGCACGCGCGCCGTGTTATGAGAGAGAGAGGGAGAGAGGAGGGAGAGAGGAAAAAAGAAGGAGAGAAGAAGTCTGGGCGAGAGGAAAAAAGAAGGAGAGAAGAAGTCTGGCCAATGCCTTATAACCGAAATAGGAGAACGAGGAAAAGCAGGCAGCAAGGAAAGATTAGCGCACCAGCCGCAGAACCTCCACGAGGGAAAATCTCTGAGATAGTGACTAAAGCCCATCGACACTAGCGCACACATCCCGCCAGCGTGCCCTACATACACGGTATAGGTTCTCCCTCCCTCCCTCCCTCCCTCCCTCTCTCTCTCTCTCTCTCTCTCTCTCTCTCTCTCTCTCTCTCTCTCTCTCTCTCTCTCTCTCTCTCTC